TTTGAATATTACATGTTAATAACTTGATTGGAATTATAACCTTGAGTTGACAGTTTGATACTTTGAAAATTTTGAGCCAGCCCTACCCCCAAGGGCTGTAGGGTGGGGCTCAAGGGAGTCAGTGTGCTAAAATTTCTTCATTTTCCTTGTTTAGAATCAGAGGTGCTAGTTTCAAATCCTTTTTAGTCTGAAATCTGTATGCTTGATATTGAATAAGGTGGTTTTATTGTTTTTTGTCACTTTGAATAATATTTCTGTTCATGTTAAAAACGAAATCAACTCTCTGTATAAATATATCAGGTGACCGTTAAGGCCCATGGGCCTCTTGTTTCAGTTGCTATTCAGTTTTTCAGATTTTTATCAGCATGTTATAATAAATGATTTAAACAAATTTTAAATTCGTTGTTAGATGTTATAAAATATTTTTCTTTTGACCTTCACTTGAGCCTTGGCTAAGCAGCCACCTGTCTTAAGCAGCCAACATCATGATCTCCCATAGGTGATCTCATAACACAAGTTTGACTGTAATTGGCTGTCCTTTATCAGGACACTTATTGGGGATGTTAGTGCAGCCAAAATTTCTTATTTCAAATCATCGATCAGGCCCCATTGTTATCAATACATTCTTCAGCTTTAGGAAAATTTCTCTTAAATGTTTCTTTAGGAAACCATTAATAATGTTAGAGAAGAACTCTTAAATGAACGAACTCGTTCATAACATTCAATAATTTTTTACTTCGAAAAATCTTATGGAATTTCCATAAACTATGGATCCCCAAACTACTGCCAAAAACTACTTAAATGCTTTAGAAACTTTTCCCAGCAGGGCTCTATTCCTGACAAGTTATTTCTGAACAGAAATTGATAGCTTGCAGAATTTTCCAGAGAGACCTTTTTGCGTGGATGAACTTTAACTCTTTTTTTTTTTTAACATTTGTTGTTTAATGATTTTTTTTTTAAACATAATACATTGTAAGAAAAGAAAAAAAGACTGTGTTTAAGAAAAACGACATTGGAATGTTTTTAAGCATTTTTTCCTGCGATTGGACTTATATTTAGGAACATTAGTGGAATGGAGCCTGGCTTGTAGGTTATCATCATTATTGAAGCATTTCAGTGTGACAGTTGTTTTTTGGTGTTTTACCCAGACTGTCCCAGCTGTAAGATGAGGTATGCCCTCGCCAAGGGAGGCTGTATGCACTTCAAGTGTCCCCAGTGTGGCCATGAGTTTTGTAGCGGCTGCTCACAGCCCTTCGTGAAACAGGGGGTAAGTCAAAATCATGTACTTCTGATAAGAAACTTTTTTCTGAGTTCAAAAAGTCTTGTCTTCCATAATAGCTTTTTGCATAAAAAGTGTGGATATCTTTAGGTAATACAAGGACTGAATATGCATTATTTACATTACTCATTCAACTTAATACATGAACTATCTGTTAAACTACTTCAGGTCATACTGCAAAAACTATTTAAGGAATTCCATTTGTTAATTATTACTGTAACTTTCTATATTTCAAGTCCAAGACAGTAAATATAAACACACATGCTGATAATATAAAATCACATGTAAAAGAGGCTAATTCTGACAGACTGTGGACATGGTCTGATAATAACTAACATGGCTTTACAATCTTTGATATTAGCCTTTAATCTCACACCCTTAAGTTAAAATGTGTAATGTTAGTTTTGTTTGATTAAATAGATGTTGAATTAGGACAAATTCCTTATGTAGGTTGGAAGTTCTTTGGCTCAGTAAATATGAAGCCAAAACTGATAATAGGGGCCCAAAGTACAATGTGTCTAGATAAAAGCTACGATATATAGCTTCTAATTTGTGATGTATGAAGAAATATCAGAATGAAAGATTTAACTCATTCACCCCTTTTCATAATGAACTATTCCAAACATTGAATTGGTAGAGTTCAAATGTGTCTTCAGGGGTGAATGAGTTAAGACAAAATATAGGTATATGAGAAGTTAGAATGTGTGTAACCCCCACTGACAGATATTGTGTTTGTGTTTCGTAGCCGTGTGTGGGATATCAGCGGTGCCAGGGTAAAGGGATACATAGTCACCACCCGCGGGACTGCTTCTATTATCTCCGTGACAACAGTGTTGAGGACCTACAGAGGATACTCAGGGTGAGCATGCTTAAAATATTAGACCAATTGTAATTTTCAAGGAGTATTGATATTATCTGTGTTAATCAATTTAATTGTTCTTTTGACCAAATCTGGAAACAAGTAGACAATCTATGCTTAATTTTCTTTATGATTTTTTTTACCAAAAAAGAAAATAATTCAGCTGTTTTTTGAAGAATGACTGGTTGAGTTTCTTTCGCTGTATGTTTGTTTGTATGATTTTAGATAATAAATATATGCTTCTTCTGTATATAACACTTTTAACTTTAGCCTAATCTGGGCAACTGATGGTTCATATTTTAATTTATCACATATTTCCTGGGTGATACTGTGAAAATGCTAGTGTCATATGATTTGTCTATCATTATCAAGGGTAAGGTGATCTTACAAATAAGACCAAGAGATGTGACATCACAGATTTCAAGATGTTACAGTTGAACAATATTTGGAAATAATGAGAAATAAATGTTTGGTTGATGAATTCATTGAGCATAAGCAAATGAAGATTATAATTGAAATCATCTGATTCCCAAAGGGAGAAATACAGATTACAAAAAGTGAGTCTCCTTTCAAAATAGGGTACATGGCATGTACCAAATCTATATTGTCTTGCAAATTAATGCAAAACACAAACATATTTAGCTGTAATGTTAATATTTCCTCATATTCAATAATCCAAGGTTATTTATGAAACTTGAAAAGTTACCCGTCTGAAAAAAACCCTGATTTGACTCTAACGACTAAGAGGATATGCAGTAACATTTGAGTTGGTTGACCCTAGCAAATTTTGTGTGTTTTTAACCCTATGACCTATTTATGGTTTGAATACAAAGAACTTTATACAGTTTAAACCCCATGTCCTTTGTGTTTTGTACAGGACAAGAAGCTTCACTATAATGCTGAGGCTCAAGATTCACAGGATATAGACCCAGCATGTCCTGTGATGGAACAGAAAGAACTTGACAGTCGTAAGAAAGACGAGCCATGTGGACGAGATGTTTTAAAGGGACATGCTGGTCTTTGTATGTAAGTACAGGGCACAGAATAACAGATAGGATGGCACTAAGATAACTTATACAGGACAAAGAGCGCCACATTTAGTGGCTTTCTGATGACTGGTACAGGGCAGAGTTTCAGGCTCAGTGGCATTCAGGTAAAATGTACAAAACAAAGAGTGCCACATTGAGGACACCTGATGACTTGTACAGGATACTGTTTCAGGTTAAGTGATATGCAAGCAACTTGTATGGGTTTAGTGGCACTCAGGTAAATTGTATAAGACACCATGTCAGGTTTAGAAATATGAAGGTGTATTTTTAGCTCACCTGGCACGAAGTGCCAAGTGAGCTTATGCCGTGGTGCGGCGTCCGTCCGTCCGTCGTCCGTCGTCAGTCGTCCGGTGTCAATATTTTACTTTAAACGACTTCTTCTTAATAACCGAAAGGCCTAGGGTGTCGATATTTGGTCAGAAGCAAACTAGGATGAAGGGCTACAAAGTTTGTTAAAATTAATGACCTTCACTCATTTTCAAGGTCACAGTGGTCAAATATGTTAAAAACTTTAAACAACTTCTTCTGAATAACCAAAATGCCCAGGGTGATGATATTTGGCCAGTAACANGGTCAAATATGTTAAAAACTTTAAACAACTTCTTCTCAATAACCAAAATGCCCAGGGTAATGATATTTGGTCAGTAGCATGCTGAGATAAAGGGCTATAAAGTTTGTACAAATGAAGGACCTTCTCCCATATTCAAGGTCACAGTGGTCAAATATGTTAAAAACTTTAAACAACTTCTTCTCAATAACCAAAATGCCCAGGGTAATGATATTTGGTCAGTAGCATGCTGAGATAAAGGGCTACAAAGTTTGTTCAAATAAATGACCTTCACCCATATTTAATGTCACAGGGGTCAAATATGTGAAAAACATTAAAAAACTTCTTCTGAATATCCAAAATGCACAGGGTTATGATATTTGGCCAATAGTATACTGGGATGAAGGGCTACAAAGTTTGTTCAAATGCATGACCTTCACCCATATTCAAGGTCACAGGGGTCAAATATGTTAAAAACATTAAACAACTTCTTCTGAATAACAAAAATGCCCAGGGTGATGATATTTAGTCAGTAGCATACTAGGATCAAGGGCTACCAAGTTTGTTTAAACATATGACCTTGAATCATATTCAAGGTCACAAGGAGCAAATATGTTCAAAATATTTAAACAACTTGTTCTGAATAACCAAAAGGCTCAGGATATCGATATTTAGTCAGTAGCATAAGCTGGGATCAAGGACTACTTTGTTTGTTAAAGTGAATGACTTTGACTTATATTCAAGGTCACAGGGGTCAAATTTGTTTAAAATCTTTAAACGACCTCTCCTGAACAACCATGGGTCCCAGGATGTTGATACTTTGCAAGTTGCATCCTGAGATGAAAGGCTATAAAATTTGTTCAACATAATGACTTTGTTCGACTTTCAATCACAGGGGTGAAATGTTTTAAAATAAATTAACAGGGTCTTTTGAATGAATTTTAATCATAAATACTGATATTTTGCCTGTAGCTTTATTTTAGATCACTTTTAAGATTACAAGTGTGAGATCTATACCAGGTGAGCGATGCAGGCCCATTGGGCCTCTTGTTTTATAAGGCTTATGAGTTTGAAAGTATCCTACTGTTCAAGATAAAAGTTTCCAGTATATATTCTTATTTGTTATTTTGTAGAAATCATTACAAGGAATATCTAGTGGGGATTCTGAACAAGAATAAGGCTGATCCAATCAACATTCTTACCCTTGATGAGATGAAAAATCTCCTGGAGAGGGAAGAGAAGAACATCCCACCACAAAAGGAAGGGGAGAGAGACACACAATACAGAAGGCGTCTCGCCTCGGTATGTTTTCTCCATTTTCATCATTTGAAAGGTTATCTCCCTTTTACCTTTAGTTTGATGCCCAATAATGCTGAATGTGATGCTATCTGATACAGACATTTTACATCTTTCACTTTGTTTTCTATTTGCAGTACATTAAAGAGAAGTTGCCAATAAGACGACCCAGGTAGTCAGTAGTAGAACTCACCCACAGTCCTGCACAATTCAGCACTGATAGACATTTGAAGACATGTAGCCTCAGATATCCAAGGACAGACAACCAAGGGTACACGATACCAACAGCCAAGGACACAGATCCTAACACATGGCAGAGGACACAGGCACTGACAGGTGACCCAGGACACAGGTTCTGACAAGTGATCCAGGACACAGGCTCTGACAGGTGACCCGAGACACAGGTTCTGACAGGTCACCCAGGACAAAGGCTCTGACAAGTGACCAAGGACAAAGGCTCTGACAAGTGACCAAGGACAAAGGTACTTACACGGGACCTAGGACACAGGTTCTGAGACATGACCGAGGACACAGGTTCTGACAGGTGACCTAGGACACAGGTACTGATATGTGAACCAGGACACAGGTTCTGACACATGACCTAGGAAGCAGGCTCTGACACATGACCCAGGACACAGGCTCTGATACATGACCCAGGACGCAGGCTCTGACACATGACCCAGGACACGGATTCTGACACATGACCCAGGACACTGGTTCTGACAGGTGACCCAGGACACAGGCTCTGACAGGTGACCTAGGACATAGGTACTGGCAGGTGACCCAGGACACAGGCTATGACAGGTGACCAAGGACAAAGGTACTTACACGGGACCTAGGACACAGGTTCTGTCAGGAAACACCTGGGACACAATTTTTGACAGGTGACCCAGGACACAGATTCTGAGACATGACCTAGGACACAGGTTCTGACAGGTGACCCGAGACACAGGTTCTGACAGGTGACCCAAAACACAGGCTCTGACAAGTGACCAAAGACAAAGGTACTTACACGGGACCTAGGACACAGGTTCTGAGACATGACCTAGGACACAGGTTCTGACAGGTGACCTAGGACACAGGTACTGACAGGTGAACCAGGACACAGGTTCTGACAGGTGATCCAGGACACAGGTACTGACAGGTGACCCAGGACACAGGCTCTGACAGGTGACCCGGACACAGGTTCTGACAGGTGACCTAGGACACAGGCTCTGACAAGTGACCCAGGACACAGGTACTTACACGGGACCTAGGACACAGATTCTGAGACATGGCCCAGTACACAGGTTCCCTAGGACACAGGTACTGACAGGTGATCCAGGACACAAGTGATGACACGTGACCCAGGACACAGGTTATGACATGTGACCTAGGACACAGATACTGACAGGTGAACCAGGACACAGGTTTTGACATGTGAACCAGGACACAGGTTCTGACACATGACCCAGGACGCAGGCTCCGACAGGTGAACAAGGAATCGGGTATTTTACCAGCTGGCATTTGGTTCTGAAGTAGATGGCTGATTACACAGGTCATTAGAGCCAAGGACACAGTTTGGAACTTAAATCCAAGGAGACAAGTTCCATAATCACAGTCAGCCCGAGAACAGGTACTCAGAGTTTTGGGGCTCTGATCACGCAGTCCCTGCCATAGTACCACTTGATTACAAGTCCTGCCGACACCAACACCTTGAATTACCATGCTGTCTCGAAAGCCTCCGTATAATGCTAGTATGATGGGACACGATTTTGTGAAATAGGTGTGATATACCCAAATACAGGTTCTGGTTTATAAGCGATGCTGTTACTCAACTTCTTGGAATGTGAGGAAAGCCTTTGATTTACCTTAATTATCAACATTCCACTTCACTTGAGAAATTATGATAATTATCATATATCTGTAAATATGTTAAAAAAAATGTAAATATATATATATGCACATCAGTCTTCTACACAAAGTCTTCTTTTCAATTTACATATCAAGTGGATTATGTTGTATAGGTACAGTACATGTTATACTATTTTACCATTTCATGTACATTATGATTAATATATATGTAATTACATTGAAAATATACAATGTATGTAATTACAGTTAACATAAGTAATTACATTTTAGTTGAATATGTAATTACTTTTACATGTACATACATATGCAAATACATTTACCTGAATACTAGGGTATGTGTTTTTTTCTCTATATATGTGTATGTAATTTTATTTTAAATCAATGAAATATTTTTTTCTGGGTATTAATACTTTTATTTACAAATGATGGAAGTAGTCTGGACCTGACTGTAGCTTTGTAGTCTTTGGTAGAAAAGCAGGACTTGTGAGTTGGTACTTGTCCTGCCTATATCACTACACAGGCAGAATTTCTTGATGTCAATTTGACCTGAAAATATCCTTACCTGAACTTGACTTGAATTTCAGGTCAATTTCACATGAAAATTTATATTAATGTGCATTCAGGTGAAATTCATGTCAATTCATGTCAAATTAACCTTTAGTTATGACCTGAAAATGACATTAAGATTTTTTGCCTGGCTAAGATATTCCTAAAATCTCTTTGATTTATTTTTGTTTTATCTATACTCAGATTCAAGTCGTTTCACCCTTCGTCTAAAACATCTCCCTGTAACTCTTTACAATGTCAATTTGTTTCTGTACCTCACATTTTGTGGTGATAAGATTTATACTGAAAGTCACCATTTTTTTTTGCGTTCTGCTTGTCTGCTTAATTTCTGTTAATGTGATATTGTACTGACAATGTAGGTTCATTGATAAACACTGGCGAGACATTAACACAAGGTCAAAATCTTAAATAACCCAATCTGTCAAATGCCATGCCTTCCATGCCCTTGGTCACCTCGACACTGAGTTCCTTTATAACTATATTGTAATATATCAAAGAATCTCAATCGGTAATGAAATACCTTACTATGATTTAAGTAGTACAGTACCTTAACTTGTTCACCCCTTAAATGTCATGATGGACTATACAGACGTTTGAAATGGAAGAGTTCAAATGTGTTTTCAGGGGTGAACTGTGATTTAAACTGTCCTTTTGTTTGGTAAGGCAAGGAAGATTTTTTCTTTTTTTTGACAGTCAATCAAAGTCATTCAACTACGCAAGGATCATTTTGCTCTCCTTTTAAAAAAAAAGATGTTTTCGTTTAAGTCCTCTTTATGACTGCATTGAATTTGTACATGTATTCAAATGGATCCACTAAGACTGAACGTTATATTGATCTTTCTGGGACTGAGAATGACATTTTTATCAGCATTATATATGTGGTAGAAGTTTTGTGATGGACGCTCTATGACGTCTGTCAAAGTTATATGATAACGAAATATGATATTTAGATTTGCGATTGAAGTGCCTTACCTTGATGTGATAATGAATTTGAATCACAACAATTGTTGAAGTGTTACCTGGCTGCAATGTCACCAATTTTAGGCCTACCATAAGCTGAGTTTTAATTCAAGTTTCTGTGTTAAGTCTATCTGGATCCAGTTCCATGAGAGTTCTTTTTAACTTACGGAAATTCCACTGGAAAGCATTGACGGAGGTGAGGTAAAACCTTCTGGAAGTTTTTCCTCAACTTCTGCTGTTCTTTCTGATATGTATCTTCTAAGGTAAAGATTTCCCCTCATGAAAAGAATGCTCTTGCACCTGGGGAGAATTTTAATTCTAATTTAATCTACCTTTGGTGTTTGGCAATGAGTATCCCAAACCCAAAATCAGAGGGTTGTCAACAAATAGGGACAGGAATTTGAAATTTCTTCCAACTGTAGGGAAGATAGAGAGATTACGAAGGGACAGGACTTGTATATCTGTCTTCCAGTTTATACGACAATGCTCTGAGTAAAGAAATTATATCATCCGTTGACTCGTAGTTTAACTTTGTTGTTTGTTTTACAGTGAACCAAAATGCTGTATAGAATGTGATATCATGAATTTATCATCTTACCTACAAGTTCATAAATTGAGGCTGCCAACCCAACCTCTTGGCATCAGGAATACTCTCTTATTTGTCACCGGCATCTGGAATATTCTCTAATTTTGGGAATAACAGTACTTGAATTAATTTCATTGCTAAAATTGGTGTATGGATTCTTCCCGCACCTTGGTGTTTCATATACTACTTTAATTCATTCACCCCTTAAGACATGAACTTTTCTGATTTAAAGGTTGGAATAGTTCATTATAAAATTTCAGGGTTGACTGACTTAATTATTTACCAGCAATCTGGTGTACGGATTTAGGGTTGGCAGCACCTCGTATCGTCCCAGAGGTTTAACATATTGAAATAACTATGATGTTCTGTATAATTTAAAATGAAAATAAAAGTTAAAAATGATTAAAACATTGTTGACCCTTGTATGTTATTGCTCATTCATGGATTGGATTACTACTTTTAGAGTGCTTTAATTTCCCAGTTTCAGGTTTTTGAGAGTGTTTGTTGAAATAACATGCAAGATACAAATTTCTCAAAGTGAAACATAATTAACATGCTAATTCTTTGTGTTAAATGAAGGTCGATATTTTTGATAATGCTTATTAGAGTGCCCTGTGGTTGTTGGTCACTACCTACGTTCTCATTTAGAGGACACAGCTTTCTTTGGAATTGATTGAGATAAATATGTCGGTGTCATCGATGAAGCAGAAGACACTTACCCTTTCGGAACACCTGGACTTCTTCTTTTTCAACGGTCTCCATGTCAATCCTTCCTTTGTACATATTTAAGTTTTATCTTTTGTAAGTTTGAATTGTGGTTTTGTTGACACTTCAGTGTTCTCTTGTTGTTTGTTAGGTAACGCCATCAATAGGCCATACTAATTCTCTTGTTGTTTGTTAGGTAACGCCATCAATAGGCCACACTAATTCTCTTGTTGTTTGTTAGGTAACGCCATCAATAGGCCATCCTAATTCTCTTGTTGTTTGTTAGGTAACGCCATTAATATGCCATACTAATTCTCTTGTTGTGTTTCGGGAACGCCATCAATAGGCCATACTAATTCTCTTGTTGTTCGGGTAATGCCATCCATTCTTATTCTCTTGATGTTTAGGTAACGCCATCAATAGGCCATACTAATTCTCTTGTTGTTCGGGTAATGCCATCCATACTTATTCTCTTGA